GAGGAAAAGGAAAGAAGGAAAGGAGAGGAGATGAAAGGAAAGGATGAAGAAAGAAGAAAGGGAAAGAAAAAGAAAGAGGGAAAGGAGATGAAAGGATGAAGAAAGAGGAAAGGAACAGGAAAGGAAAGGAAAAGGAAGATGAAACGAGGAAAGGAAAAAGATGAAAGGAAAGGGAAGAAGAATAAGGAAAGGAAGATAACAAGAAGGAAAAGAAACAATGCCGCATAAACCTGGCATCTTCAGCTTTGTAACAGATGACTCCAAATCAGCCCCCTTTCATTACAGGTAGTCCTTGACTTACGACCACAAGTGAGCCCTACATTCCTGTTGCCAAGTAAAACATTTGCTAGGTGAGTTTTGCCACATTTTACGAACTTTTTCTGCCACGGTTGTTAAGTGAATCCGGCTTCCCCCTTGACTTGGCCTATCAGAAGGTCATCAAAGGGGATCTCTTAATGTCCTGGGACACTGCAACCGTCATAAACCCGAGCCAGCTGCCAAGCTTGATGCTGCAATGGTTGCAAGCGTGGAAAACAGTCGCAAGTCCCTTTGTTCAGTGTCGTCGTAACTTTGAATTGTCACTAAACAAACGGCTGTAAGTCAAGGATTACCGGGACCTGTACTTGCAATAAATCTGACTAAGATGCAAATGTGAAAAGAGAAGGAAGCATGTTAGGCATGGAGTTGTGATGTGGTTCATTCTCAGAGTGAAAACTATCTTCCCATCATTGCCGTCTGGAACACGATCGACGCATGACTGAACGTGCGCAGCTGGGGCCTGGCACACGCCTGCAACATATCCTCTGTCCCGCTTGAAGCAATGTCAACATTGCCAAATAAAAATAAATTCTGCAGGGAAATCTGTCCAAAGATGGCCTCCGCAGCTGAACTGGAGTGTATGCGCACAAAGGGGAACCGTGGAGAGCTTCTCTTCCCCCCCCTGGTGACCGTGCAGAAGACGCCCTCCGTCTCTTTAGCCGTCAGGACGAGGCAGGCTGCGCCACAGAGTGGCCAGGAAGGGTGGGCAGCGCAGACTCGACCGCAGGTCCTCGCAGGAGTCTCCCTCCGGACACGCGACTTTCACGCACATCTCGGCCTCTCGGTCCCCTTCGGCGTCGCGGAAGGGCTCCGTCACGTCGAAGCGGGCGCCGCAGGCGTCCCCGCTCAGCAGCCGGGTGTCCCGTCTCTTGGACCGGGGTTGCAAGAGGGATTGGGGCCAAGAGGGAGCAGTGAGGAGCAGGCGGAGAGGGAAAGGCTGACTCGGATCCAGAGGCTGCTCCAAGTTCAGCAGGACGAACGCTTTGGTGAGACGGACGCCTCTCTGGCAACGGAGGTGAAGCATCCAGCAGAATTCGTGCTCTGCTCCTGCGGGGGGGGGGGGGGGGAAGAGAAGAGAGGCAGTATGTTGAAAACTGCAGGGGGTCACTTAGATGCGATAGTTAGAGAAGAGGAGAGGGGGAAAGTGGAGGATAAAAAAAGGGAAGGTGGAAAGGAAAGGAGGGAAGGAAAGGGGATGAAAGGAAAGGATTAAGAAAAAGGAAAGGAAGAAGAAAGAGGAAAGGAAAAGGAAAGGAGGAAAGGAGGAAAGGAAAGGAAGAAAGGAAAAGAGGAAAGGAAAGGAAGAAAGGAAAGGAGGAAAGGAAAGGATGAAGAAAGAGGAAAGGAAAAGAAAAGGAAGAAAGGAAAGGAGGAAAGGAAAGGAGGGAAGGAAAGGAGATGAAAGGAAAGGATGAAGAAAAAGGAAAGGATGAAGAAAGAGGAAAGTAAGTTGAAAGGAAAGGAAGAAGGAGGAGGAAAGGAAAAGGAAAGGAGGAAAGGAAAAGAGGGAATGAAAGGAGATGAAAGGAAAGGATGAAAAAAGGAAAGGATGAAGAAAGAGGAAAGGAAAAGGAAAAGGAAGTTGAAAGGAGATTAAAGGAAAGGGAAAGGAAAGGATGAAGAAAAAGGAAAGGATGAAGAAAGAGGAAAGGAAAAGGAAGTTGAAAGGAAAGGAAGAAAGAGGAAAGGGAAAGGAAAGGATGAAGATAAAGGAAAGGAAAAGGAAAGGAGGAAAGGGAAGGAGGAAAGGAAAGGAAGAAAGGAGGAGATGAAAGGAAAGGATGAAGAAAGAGAAAAGGAAAAGGAAAGGATGAAAGAGGAAAAGAAAAGGAAAGGAAAAGGATGAAAGGAAAGGAAGAGGAAAGGGAAAGGAAAGGATGAAGAAAAAAGAAAAGGAAGATGAAAGGAAAGGAGAAAAGGAAAAGATAACAAGAAGAAAAAGAAAAAATAGCGTATAAAGTGTAGATTGTAGACTATAAAATATAAAGCAAAAATAATTAAAACACCCAGCCTTCCTTTCTCAGCTGATCTAACTTCACACCACCAGAATTTGGCCGGAAGCGACTCAAACCCAATTTATCCTAATTTTAAAAACTGCAGATTTCCCCTAAATTCCAGCACAGGGCTTCGAACAGGGCTGTGTAAACGTGCCTCCATTCCCTTCTTCACAATCTTCGCAGCCTGCCCAGTTCCCTAGCCGATTTTCACCTAGAAGCTCTAACCTCAAGAGGCCGTTAGGACTACAAAGACCATCGGTTTTACGTGGGACAAGAGATTCCACGGGGGGAAAAATCGCAAAAACCCTTATTGAGACACAACCTTCCCAATCCCAGGAACTCTCCAAAGCCCTGGGAAACAGCAGCCTGACAGCTGTTGCACAGCTGCCTGGGCTCCGGGGCGGAGTCTCCGAAGCCCATCCTCTGCTTGGGTCTGATTGGCTGCCCAGCTGGCACCCAGTCGGAGCCTGGCACCTGTCCCACGGCCCTCCCGCTTACCTTCTCTGCCTTCGTTGACTTTGAGCGACGTCGTCATGCTCTTGAAGTCGCCGGATGCTAACATTGCCATGTAGGCTTCGTAGGCGTGGGAGGTGCACCGCAGCATGCAGCTGCTAAAGCTGGGCTGTGCAGGCAGCTGCCCTTCCGGCGTGGCCGCCGGACTGTCATCGGCAGGGCATAGCGCCCACGGCTGCACCGTCGCCAGATCCCGACTCCTTCCGACGTAGCCCACAACAGCCATGCCCAGGATCCACAAAACAACCAGTCCAGAATGACCCATCGCAGATTTTCAGGACAGAAACCAGCATGTCGAGAGAGAGCGCCGAGGGCAGGCCGAGGGGCTGGAACTCACAGCCACAACAGGCCTGAACCTGTTGCTTCAGACCGCGTGGATTCCTCAGCCCCCGCCAGCTGCTGGGAGGGTGCCCAGCGCGGCAGCTGCCAAAGCCACTTCGGAATGCCAGGCGCCAGAGGGGGAATCAGAGGCAGGGAGGGAGATGAAGACCGCTGGAGGCCTGCCCGAGTTATACAAGATGTAGCTTGCCTACCAACAGATGAAGAGATGATTTAAATAAAAAGAGATTAGATTGTGCGGAGATGAATAGGTTGACCATGAAAATAAAGGATAAAGAGGAATCAGAGTACTTCCAAGACATGGGGAAGGTTTTATGATTGGCTGGAGAAAGGAAACTGGAAAAGTTTCTGGGGTTGGGAAGGGCGTCTCTCAATAAGGGTTTTTGCGATCTTTTCCGCGTGGAATCTCTTGTCCCACGTAAAACTGATGGTCTTTGTAGTCCTAACGGCCTCTTGGAAAAGAAATTAGGGAGAAGATAAGAGAATCCAAAGGATGCACTGTTAAAATTCCAGCCCCGATTAGAACGAATGCGTGTCTTGTGAATTTTTAAACTTAAATCTTTTTTTAATTTTCCTTTCTTTCTTTTCTTTTTTCTTTGTAAGCCCCCCAGAGTCCTTCGGGATTGGGCGGCATATAAATTTTAACAATAAATAAATAAATGGAAATGGGGGCGGGGAGGGGGAGATAAGGGGAAAACAGAGAAGAAGGTATTAAATATGTAAGTATATATCCAAAAGCGAGATAGAAAGGGGAGGAAAATATAGTTAGGGTAGATTGGCAAAGATAAGGGAATAAGAAACAAATTATATTTGGGTTTGTGGAAATAACCATCCCAAGGAAACATAAAATGAGATCTGAAACACCTACAATAATAGAAAAGAGAGGAGAGAATGAAAGGAAGATGGGGGAAAGAAGAAAGAGGTAAAGAGAGGAGAGGAAGCGAAGGAGGGAGGGTAGGAAGGGGAAGAGTAGGAGTAGGAGAAAGGTAAGGGAAGAAGGGGAAGGAGAGGAGGAAGAAAGTAGAGAAGGGAAGGAGGGAGAAAAGAAAGGAAAAATGCAAATTTTGTCCCACCATTTTGTGCACGTATGGCTGTGGCCACAGGTTGCTACAACAGAAATGGCGGAGGCTGGCTTATTTTGCGCATTCTCCAAGGACTGAAAGCATGCCAAGGGTTTCTTTTTGTAACCAGTCCCAAGGGGGAGGCAAGATCCTCGGTGGTTACTAACGTAGGAACTGCACGATTCATTTAGCAACAGTGTCGAGGTTGCAAAATGGGACAAAACTCCAAATGTTCAAGTCATCCAGGTTGTGGTTATGCCAAAGATGTTTTCGAAACAGAGCTGAAGAAGCTTCTTGGATGTGAAGCAAAAAGAAAATCCAGAATTGGGAAAAAAGAATTGGGTCACTGAATAATTGCTTGAGTGGAGGATGGGAAGCACATACATTTGATGGAGGGTCCAGTTTTTGACCTGTCCTCCATCAAATGACCTTAAAAAGGTCATTTGGGGCAGCTTATCACGGAGGCCTCATTGTCCCATTCCCAAAACTAACAGGATGACAAGGTCGGAAAACCGATTATACCTTACCACAATTAAAAGGGTTTGGAATTGTCTGCTTATCTCTAAAAAGGATTTTGGAGAACAAAATGTACTTCAATACAAATAAAGTGAACTCAACACATTTTCTTTTTGATTTATTCCCAAGCCAGCATATCCTAAACATCAAAATTATCCGGAACTGTAAAAAAATAGAAGTTGCAGGTTGTTGGAAACTTAGAAAGGAACTTTAAAAAAGTGACTTCTGGTCCCACCTTAAGACATGAAAGCCAGCTGGGTGACTTTGGGCCAATGGCCAGGATACTGGGAGTTCTAGTCCCCCTTTAGGCATGAATGTTGGCTGGGTGACTTTCAACCAATCACTAAGATGGTGAGTTCTAGTCCCCCTTTAGCCATGAAATCCAGCTGAGTGACTTTTGGCCAGCCCTTCGCAGCCCAACACACCTCACATGATTGTTGTGAGGAAGAGGAAGGAGGGTTGGACTAGGCAAGGGGTTGGACTAGAAGACCTCCAAGGTCCCTTCCAACTCTATTGTATGGAAAGCAAATCCCGCCTCCACCCATCCATCTTTCACCAGGATAGTCAAGAAAACAAACCACAGCATTGTTTTTCAAACTAGCATATTTATTAACAGTAGCAAATTGGTATGCATTTAAAAGAAATTTGACCATACAATTGCCAGTTAATTTTTTCCTGAAATGTACCAAAAATCTTTTTAACAAGTGGGGGGGAAGGGGGGGAAATCCTGTAAATTTGTAGATAAGTTTAGTTTATAAGTTTAATAGCATTTATATGCCACCCAATCCCGTGGGACTCCGGGCGGCTTACAGTACAAAATAAATCAAGGAGAAAAAAATAAAATAGAAGAAAAGATAGATTTAAAAAACACACCATGCACTCCGTTCTAAATGGGGCTGGACCGTATTTAGGGTCAACAGCCACAGGGCTGGTGGAACAGCCAGGTTTTAATGGCTTTCCGGAAGGCCGAAAGTGGGAAGGGTCCGGATCTCTGCGGGTAGATCATTCCACAGGGCCGGGGC